TTCAATGAGTCCTTATTTCGAGATATTCTTTACGATTGAGGTAATATCTTCGAGACAATTATATTTTCTTTCAACTTTTTTCTCTCTCTTTTTTTCTTTTATTTTCTTCTTCTTCTTCTTTCCTTTTTCCATTTTTTTTTCTCTTTCCACTTATCTTTAATCGCATTAAGCTTCGACTGTTGTTTCAGAAGATTTTCAATCGTTGTCACTTTATAAATTTCTCCCAATAACAATTAATATCCATCGATATTTCAAATTGATTTTTTTCCAGAGATATTTCATTTCGCAGACTCTCGCCCTGATACACACCGCCGTTTGTTTTGCCTGTTTCGATAATTTTTTATGCCTCTTAAGCATGCACGCCGCCGGTCAATTCAAAATACTACAGCACAAGCTCGAGACGATTTTTGATTGGGGCGTTAACGTATCATTGAAAACTGTCATAACGTTGAATAACGAAAGATTAAATGATTGCATTAAGAGGCACAATGAATTGATTAATTATATTGATAAATTGGAAAATATATTTACTCACACGATGTTGTGCCAATTGTTAATATCAAGCGTGATGCTTTGCGTAGCTGGATTTCAAATGTTCTTGGTAAGCAAAATTAAAAAAAAAAAAAAGAAAAATAAATCAATTGCACGAATTGAAATAATAATAATCACATTAATGAATAATAATAATAATAATAATAATAATAATACATATTTAATTATATGTTCACGATCAATAGTCACAAGGAACATTGATAAGGAGGATGATATTTGTCGCTCATACCAACGGATGCTTCTTCCAACTCTTTGCAATAACTTTGACAGCAAATGAGGTATTGATTGCCAGTCAAGCTATAAGCGAGGGCGCTTACGCCGCAAATTGGGCCTTCCTCCCTTCAGAAATTTTTACCAACATAAGTGGAAGTCTTATAATGATTATGATCCGAGCACAAAAACCTTGTTGCATAACTGCAGGCGGATTTTTTCCTGTCTCCCTCGAAACATGTATGGCGGTAACAATAAAATTAATATTATAACGATAATAATAATAATAACAATATTAATAACAAACTCATGGAAATTTATAAGAGATTGAAAACTTACGTACTTTTTCTTTCTTTTCTTTTTCTTTTTTACTTTTTTTTGTTTTTCTTTCTTTTTTTCTTTCTCTTACTTACGTTATTTTATTCTTTTCCTTGATTTTCTTTGTAGGTCTTGAAGACAGCAGCTTCTTACTTCACGTTGTTGAGAACATTCGATGACGAAAACGATTGAATTTTTCTATCGAAGAAAATGTGAAAATGGAAAAAAGAAAAGAGAGAAAATATTCACAAAAATTAATATATATAGAAATGTATAATAGATTAATATTACGACTTATTTTAAGATTATTTTTTTTTCCTCCCTCCCCTTAAGATTTTACATTTTCATTCAACTTTAATATATATCGGAACAATCATTATTTTCTTACCTTTCATTATATTCTCTTGTATGAATGATGATTTCAGGTTTCCTCTGTTCTATCTATTCTCTTGTATTTCGTTCTACGATAGCCATTCCATGTTACGATCTTTCTCCTTCTTCTCCTCCGCTTCCTCCTCCTCTTCCTCTCATAATTTTACGGCTAGAGACCGTTATCGTTATTCTTTTGATCTGACAATCCCACGATTATTCGCAAGTAATTTTTCTTCATAATCTATAATTCAATATCGACTATTTTCTTAGTTCACAATTTCTAATATCGTCGAAAAGTCCTAATGATTTATGTATAATATCATTCGTATAACTATACTCTTGCGTTGTATGATTTTCTTCTTTCCTTTCTTTTCTTTTCTTTTATCTTTTTCTTTTTTCCGTTTCGATGTAACAAACCGCTTATCATTCATGCTTGTAACAAAAGAAACGTATCATTACGTTTAATGAATTCTTTTCCCGGATGTTATTTTATTAAAAAAAGGAAAAAAAAAGAAAGTGAAAGAAGAAATAAGAAAAGAGCAAAAGAAGAAAAAAAAGAGAGTAAACGATTTAGAAGTTATTTATAAAAATTCTAAAGTAAGAGAAACGTCGTTAGAAACTTAGAAAAAATTTTCTATTTAAAAGTAAACGTCTTTGTATATAGTCTTTCATTTTCTTTGAACGTTCAAAGGTAACGATAAAGAAAGATCATTGTTTTTCGCTGTCTATTATAACTCGTTTGTAAATTAATAATTGTTTATTTAGAAATTGGAAAAACTTGGAACGATATTTTTGCATTTTCAGTATCGCGTAAGACAATAGAACGATGAATAAAATGAAATTTTTATCAGTCAATATAGCAAGGTTTTTAATGAAAATCATTGGCTTTTGGTCGGCTGATACGATTAACGAGGAACGTTTACTCAATATACTTTTCAATTACACCATCGTTGCAATTGGGATGGGCTTCTGGATCGAGGCATATGATTTTTACGTTAGCCTCAATGATTTCTACGTGAGTCTTACTATTTTTTACGTTTCTTTCTAATTTGTTTGATTTATTCGTTTGTTGTTCCTTTTTGTTTTTTGTTTCCTTTCCCTCCCCTCCTCCTCCCCCCACCTATTTTCTTCATCCACATTATATCTGGATCATGGAAATTTTTTTTTGACAGGAACTCATGTATACCGCTTGCAGTACAATACCAATGTTAGTGGTTCTATTGAAATTTATCGTATTTCTGCCTAATCGTAAAGACATTATCAAATTAATTAGATACACTGAGGAAAGTTTTTGGTTCAAGGAGTACGACGAATACGATGAAAAGATATTAAATGTCGTTAATAAGAAGGGATCGATTTTGATTTGTTGTTTCACGTGTTGCGTACAAAACACAGTATTTACTTATGCATTAATCCCTGTAATAGGTATATTACAACTACTATGAGTATTACTATTAATTGTCAAATAATTTAAGTGTGTTAAACTCTTAATGACATTTACATTCGTTGGTACAAATGAGAAATGCCAAGGGTGTTTTGAATAAAATGTGTAATAAAAAAAAAAGAAGAGAAAAAAAAGGAAAAAAGAACAAAAAAAGAAAACAAAAAAGGAACACATCATGAAGTCATTTATATATATATATATATTGATCTGCTTTTTTTTCTTTCTTTTTCTATTTTTTTTTGTTTCAACTTACTTAAATTCAAGCAATCGTCAAATGATTTTGATTATGGTCTACGCGTCGATTAAAAAGTTTCTCTCGCACTTCGTCGTTCCGCTCGAAAAAAAAAGAACAAAAAAAAAAAAGAACAAAAATAAATAAAAAAGAAAAAAGGTTAAAGAACAAGAAAAAAGAAAAATAAATTTTCTCTTTACAGAAAATATAGGAAAAAATGAGAGCGATAGAATCTTACCCTTCGACATCTGGTTAGGGGGAGCAGACATACATTTGTCGCCATATTTCGAATGGGCATTTGCAATGGAGGTGACAATACTAATTTTGCAAATATATAACCCTAGTTGCGCACAGATCTCAAGATAATTTCAATATTGTTTACTTGGGGATGTGTCACAATTTACAGGCACTTTGAGCGACCGTCAATTATAAAAAATGAACAATTTTGATTCCGAAAAAAAAACGAATACCGTATATCCTTTGAAGCCTCGAACGAAATAAATAAATCGATAGATTTGAAAGCACATTTCAAATTCTGTGATTATATAAAAAAGAAAAAAATAAAGAAAAAAAAAGAAAATATTCCATAAATTATACTTAGCGCAAATTATTTCAAATCTAGCTCAAAGTTGATCTGTTTAATGTTCAACATCCATCCTTACTAGTCTCAACTAGGGTTAATCAATTAGAATACAATACGATATAATTATTTTTCTAGACGTATCATTTCGCAGATTATCGCATTGATACATTCAGGATTTTGTTTCTGTTCTTTCGATAATTTTCTATGCCTGTTGAATCTAACGTTGGCTGGACAATTCAGGATTTTGCAACATCGTTTGGAAACATTGTTCGACAATAGCATATTGTATTCCAGGAAGAACGAATATATTTCCTTGGACGATGACGCATTAAAAACTTTTCGAGAATTTAAAAGATGCGTTGAACATCATCGTACACTTTTTGATTATGTCGACGAATTGGAAAGGATATTCACGACGGCCACGTTGTTCCAATTGTTGATGTCCAGTATAATGCTTTGCGTCGCAGGATTTCAACTTTTTATGGTATACACATTCTCGAAAGCTTATCGAAAAGAAAAAAAAAAGGAGAAGAAGAAAAAAAATAGAAAGAAAATGAAATCCAATTTGACAATGATCGATCTAGATTTCGTTAACGATTAATTTTCTTCCAATTTAAAGTCCAATGGCATTACAAGACGTCAGTATCTATTCTTCTCACACATTTACGGGTGTTTCTTTCAATTATTTGTCACAACGTTCGCTGGCAATGAGGTAATCATCGAAAGTCGTGCGGTCGGTGATGCAGCTTACAATGCTAATTGGCAGACATTATCCCATGAGCCCTATAAGAAGATTAAAATGGGCCTTATGATGATGATGTTACGAGCCAAACGACCCTGTTACATTACAGCCGGTGGCTTCTTTCCCTTATCTCTCGAAACGTTTATGGGGGTAATTAATAATCCATTCCTGACGACGATATCGCTGAATTGTATTTAACTATTTTTCGAATAACAAGATTATTAATTTAAGGTATTAAGTACTGCAATGTCGTACTTTACTTTATTACGTAACTTGGAAGAAGACGAAGGATTGATAAATGATATTTAATTAACGACTTCCAACAATATGTATCGAATTAATAAAACATCTTAATATTTATCATTATTTCAATAAGTTTTTCGTATTAATCTTTGATCATAGAATTACTTACGTAAGATAGAACACATGATGATAATGATGATGATGATGACCGTCATTATTACAATTTACAATTTTGTCAGATATTTCGAATGATTATCGTACACATATTCTCGATTTTATTTTCGATCGAAAATATTTTCATTTCAGTTCAAAAATATATACAAGCTCATTGAAGTACACTGATTATTTCACATTGATTTAGTACTCGGATCAAAATCGGTTCTAACATTTTTCGTCATTCTGATCAAAACCGTGAAGTTGTGATTACTTTTTTTTTTTTAGATCAGATCACAATTTTCTCTATAGGACGCGAGACGCTTGATCGCACGATCACGACTCTCGAAATGTGAACGATTGATCATGGCAAACGAAGAGATACTACAGACTATCTCTATGCTTTCTAAATTGTCAGGCATCAGTATTTTTCGCATCAGAGAAAATTGGAAGATTTGGCAAAGGAAAGGAAAAGAGAACAAAAGAAAAACAAAAAAAGAAAAACATTTACCGTATATCCTTCGTAAACTCGTTACGAAATAATAAATCGGTAAGTTTGAAATTCTGTCTTTCCAGTTATGTCATTATAAAAGAAAAGAAAAGAAAACAAGAAAAATAATAAATAAATAAAAATAACAATGAAAATTCAGGAATAACACTTAGCACAAATTATGCCTTTCTAATTCTGTCATTATAAAAGAAAAGAAAAAAAAAGGAAAAACAAGAAAAATAATAAATAAATAAAAATAACAATAAAAATTCACGAATCACACTTAGCGCAAATTGTTTTAGTTGAGCACGAAGTTCCTCCGTGGATATTCTATGTCATCCAACGGGTATAACTAAGTTGAAAAGTAAAAAATAAGTGAAAGAAAAAATTCCATATCCTATATGCCTTTATAAATCATTTGTACGTATTGCCCTTTATTACAGCGAAATGAATAAGATTTATCGATCATCTGTCGTATCATTCACACCTGACGCTTCGTACGGAAGTCCACAGACTTTTCTTTTTTTTTTCTCTCTTTTTTTCTCTCTTTTCTTTCTTTCAAAGAGAAAAACGAAGATAATCTTAGAAGTATGAAAAATGTTGCACGCACGATTGTTGAACAAGGGTAGGGAGGATTTCTTTTGATTATGATATCAAAAGAAATTTGAATTTATTATTCCTTTATTCGTTTTATAATATATTCTTTAAACGTTTGACGTGCATCAATGGCCGTAATAGAATGCAAAAGTGATCGTAGTAGTATCAAAGAGATGTCAAATTTGACACGTCTACTAATCTATCATTAGTTTATCGTTATTATACCCTATCAGTAATTTCATTGGTATATAGAAACGAGACGTTCCGAACGAACGATTGATTATGGCAAGTAAATCGTCAAAGTATTTTTCAATAAAGATAGCACGGTTTCTTATGAAAACCGTCGGTTTCTGGTATCCCGAAAGCTCTAAAGAAAAATGGATATTCGACGGTATATTATTTTACACGTTGATGGCAGTAACAACTTCTTTGGTTATCGTGTCTCTCGACGTTTATTATAGTTGGGGTGATTTTTACGTGAGTATAAAGAAGAAGAGGAAGAAGAAGAAGGAAAAAATAAAAAAGAAAAAAACATGTATCATTAATACAAAAAGAAAAGTTCATTCTTGAATGAACGTACGAACAAAATTTCTAAACGATCCTCGTAATATGTTCTTACAGGCGATCACTTATACTGCCTGCAGTATAATGCCAGTGATAATAGTATTGCTTAAAATATCGATATTTATGTTACACCGTACGAAAATGATGAACTTGATAAAATATACTCAAGAAAACTTTTGGTATCGGGAATACGATGATTTTGGTCAAAAGATATTAAATGAGATCGATAAAAAGGGAATACTTTTGATGTGTTCCTTCACGTTTTTTGTTCAAGGAACCGCTGTTACTTATACCCTGACACCGATAATAGGTAAATTTTCTATGATATCTTCTCGGTTTTGGTTTTTTTTTTTTTTTCATTACCCTAGTTGTGTTCGTGGGATAGTATAGAATATCAAACAGATGAACTTTGAGTTCTATTAAAACAATTTGCATTAAGCATGATTCATGGAATTTTTTTTTCTTTTTTTTTTTTATAATGACAGAATTGAAACTGCATCTTGGTTAATCATTTCATTCAAGACTACAAAGCATATATATATAATATTTTTTTTTGGAGTCAAAATTATTGATTTCATATAAAAATGATGGCTGTTGAAAGTGTCTGTAGGTTATGACGCAACCCCAAGCGCACAATTTCCAAATTATTTTAAGATTTGAACAATAAGGATTAATCGACGATTGTCGATCGATATTGATCGATAAGCGAGATAATTAATTTATTTCACATAGAAAACTTGGGTAAAAATGATAGCGATAGGATTCTACCGTTCAAGATATGGATCGATCTACCTTTTTCAATGAGTCCTTATTTCGAGATATTCTTTACGATTGAGGTAATATCTTCGAGACAATTATATTTTCTTTCAACTTTTTTCTCTCTCTTTTTTTCTTTTATTTTCTTCTTCTTCTTCTTTCCTTTTTCCATTTTTTTTTCTCTTTCCACTTATCTTTAATCGCATTAAGCTTCGACTGTTGTTTCAGAAGATTTTCAATCGTTGTCACTTTATAAATTTCTCCCAATAACAATTAATATCCATCGATATTTCAAATTGATTTTTTTCCAGAGATATTTCATTTCGCAGACTCTCGCCCTGATACACACCGCCGTTTGTTTTGCCTGTTTCGATAATTTTTTATGCCTCTTAAGCATGCACGCCGCCGGTCAATTCAAAATACTACAGCACAAGCTCGAGACGATTTTTGATTGGGGCGTTAACGTATCATTGAAAACTGTCATAACGTTGAATAACGAAAGATTAAATGATTGCATTAAGAGGCACAATGAATTGATTAATTATATTGATAAATTGGAAAATATATTTACTCACACGATGTTGTGCCAATTGTTAATATCAAGCGTGATGCTTTGCGTAGCTGGATTTCAAATGTTCTTGGTAAGCAAAATTAAAAAAAAAAAAAAGAAAAATAAATCAATTGCACGAATTGAAATAATAATAATCACATTAATGAATAATAATAATAATAATAATAATAATAATACATATTTAATTATATGTTCACGATCAATAGTCACAAGGAACATTGATAAGGAGGATGATATTTGTCGCTCATACCAACGGATGCTTCTTCCAACTCTTTGCAATAACTTTGACAGCAAATGAGGTATTGATTGCCAGTCAAGCTATAAGCGAGGGCGCTTACGCCGCAAATTGGGCCTTCCTCCCTTCAGAAATTTTTACCAACATAAGTGGAAGTCTTATAATGATTATGATCCGAGCACAAAAACCTTGTTGCATAACTGCAGGCGGATTTTTTCCTGTCTCCCTCGAAACATGTATGGCGGTAACAATAAAATTAATATTATAACGATAATAATAATAATAACAATATTAATAACAAACTCATGGAAATTTATAAGAGCTTGAAAACTTACGTACTTTTTCTTTCTTTTCTTTTTCTTTTTTACTTTTTTTGTTTTTCTTTCTTTTTTTCTTTCTCTTACTTACGTTATTTTATTCTTTTCCTTGATTTTCTTTCTAGGTCTTGAAGACAGCAGCTTCTTATTTCACGTTATTGAGAACATTCGATGACGAAAACGATTGAATTTTTCTATCGAAGAAAATGTGAAAATGGAAAAAAGAAAAGAGAGAAAATATTCACAAAAATTAATATATATAGAAATGTATAATAGATTAATATTACGACTTATTTTAAGATTATTTTTTTTTCCTCCCCCCCTTAAGATTTTACATTTTCATTCAACTTTAATATATATCGGATCAATCATTATTTTCTTACCTTTTATTATATTCTCTTATATGAATGATGATTTTAGGTTTCCTCTGTTCTATCTCTAATTCCCTTGTATTTCGTTCCACGTTACGATCTTTCTCCTCCTCCTCCTCCTCTTCCTCCTCCTCCTCCTCCTCTTCTTCCTCCTCCTCCTCCTCTTCCTCCTCTCATATTCTTAAGGCTAGAGACAGCTGTTATCGTTATTCTTTTGATCTGACAATCCCACGATCATTCGCAAGTAATTTTTCTTCATAGTCTATAATCCAATATCGACTATCTTCTTATTTCACAATTTCTAATCTCGTTGAAATGTCCTAATGATTTATGTATAATACCATTCGTTTAACTATACTCTTGCGTTGTATGATTTTCTTTTTTCTCCTTTTTTCTTTTCTTTTATCTTTTTCTTTTCCCCCTTTCGATGCAACAATCCGCTTATCAATCATGCTTGTAGCGAAAGAAATGTATTATTACGTTTAATGAATTCTTTTCCCGGATGTTGTTTTATTAAAAAAAGGAAAAAAAAAGTGAAAGAAGAAATAAGAAAAGAGCAAAAGAAGAAAAAAAAGAGAGTAAACGATTTAGAAATTATTTATAAAAATTCTAAAGTAAGTGGAACGTCGTTAGAAACTTAGAAAAGTTTTTCTATTTAAAAGTAAACGTGTGTGTATATACAGTCATTCATGTTCTTTGAACGTTCAAAGGTAACAATAAAGAACGTTCATCGTTTTTCCCGGGTCTATTATTACTCGTTTGTAAATTAATAATCGTTTCTTTAGAGATAGGAAAGACTTGGAACGATATTTGCATTTTCAGTATCGCGTAAGACAATAGAACGATGAATAAAATGAAATTTTTGTCGGTCAATATAGCAAGGTTTTTAATGAAAATCATTGGCTTTTGGTCAGCTGATACGATTAACGAGGAACGTTTGCTCGATATACTTCTCAGTTACACCATCATTGCAATTGGGATGGCCTTGTGGATCGAGGCATATGATTTTTACGTTAGTCTCAATGAATTCTACGTGAGTCTCACTTTTTTTACGTTTCTTTCTAATTTGTTTGATTTGTTCGTTTGTTGTTTCTTTTTTCTGTTTTTCATTTTCTTTCTCTCTTCTCCTCCCCCCACCCCCACTCTCTTCATCCACATTATATCTGGATCATGGAAATTTTTGTTTTGACAGGCACTCACGTATACCGCATGCAGTGCAATGCCAGTGGTGGTGATTCTATTGAAATTAATCGTATTTTTGCCTAATCGTAAAGACATTATCAAATTAATTAGATACACTGAGGAAAGTTTTTGGTTCAAGGAATACGACGAATACGATGAAAAGATATTGAATGACGTTAATAAAAAGGGATCGATTTTAATTTGTTGTTTTACGTGTTGCGTACAAAGCACCGTATTTTCTTACATGTTAATCCCTCTAACAGGTACACTACAACTATTATTACTATTACTATTAATTGTCAAATAGTTTTAAGTGTATTAAACTCTTAATAACATTTACTTTCGTTGCCAAGGGTGTTTTGTACAAAATGTGTAATAAAAAAAAAGGAAAAAGAAGAACAAAAGAAAAGAAGAACAAAAAAAGAAAACAAAAATGGAACACATCACGAAGTCATTTATATATATATATATGTATCGGTCTGCTTTTCTTTCTTTTTTTTTTCTATTTTTTTTTTGTTTCAACTTACTTAAATTCAAGCAATCGTCAAATGATTTTGATTGTGGTCTACGCGTCGATTAAAAAGTTTCTCTCGCACTTCGTCGTTCCGCTCGAAAAAAAATGAACAAAAAAAAAAAAGAAAAAATAAATAAAAAAAAAAAAGATTATAGAACAAGAAAAAAGAAAAATAAATGTTCTCTTTACAGAAAATATAGGAAAAAATGAGAGCGATAGAATCTTACCCTTCGACATCTGGTTAGGGGGAGCAGACATACATTTGTCGCCATATTTCGAATGGGCATTTGCAATGGAGGTGACAATACTAATTTTGCAAATATATAACCCTAGTTGCGCACAGATCTCAAGATAATTTCAATATTGTTTACTTGGGGATGTGTCACAATTTACAGGCACTTTGAGCGACCGTCAATTATAAAGAATGAACAATTTTGATTCCGAAAAAAAAAATAATATCGTATATCCTTTGAAGCTTCGAACGAAATAAATAAATCGATAGATTTGAAAGCACATTTCAAATTCTGTGATTATATAAAAAAGAAAAAAATAAAGAAAAAAAAAAGAAAATATTCCATAAATCATACTTAGCGCAAATTATTTCAAATTGAGCTCAAAGTTGATCTGTTTAATGTTCAACATCCATCCTTACTAGTCTCAACTAGGGTTAATCAATTAGAATACAATACGATATAATTATTTTTCTAGACGTATCATTTCGCAGATTATCGCATTGATACATTCAGGATTTTGTTTCTGTTGTTTCGATAATTTGCTATGCTTGTTGAATCTAACGTTGGCTGGACAATTCAGGATTTTGCAACATCGTTTGGAAACATTGTTCGACAATAGCATATTGTATTCCAGGAAGAACGAATATATTTCCTTGGACGATGACGCATTAAAAACTTTTCGAGAATTTAAAAGATGCGTTGAACATCATCGTATGCTTATTGATTATATCGACGAATTGGAAAGGATATTCGCGATGGCCACGTTGTTCCAATTGTTGATGTCCAGTGTCATGCTTTGCGTCGCAGGATTTCAACTTTTTATGGTACACAAATTCTTGAAAGCTTGTCGAAAAGAAAGAAAAAAAAAAAGAAAAAAAAGAAGAAGAAGAAGAAAAAAAAATAGAAAGAAAATGAAATCCAATTTGACAATGATCGATTACGATTTCGTTAACGATTAATTTTCTTCCAATTTAAAGTCCCGTGGCATTGCAACACGTCAGTTTCTATTCTTCGCACACGTTTACGGTTGTTTCTTTCAATTATTTGTCACAACGTCCGCTGGCAATGAGGTAATCATCGAAAGTCGTGCGGTCGGTGATGCAGCTTACAATGCTAATTGGCAGACATTATCCCATGAGCCCTATAAGAAGATTAAAATGGGCCTTTTGATGATGATGTTACGAGCCAATCGACCGTGTTACATTACAGCCGGTGGCTTCTTTCCCGTATCTCTCGAAACGTTTATGGGGGTAATTAATAATCCATTCCTGACGACGATATCGCTCAATTGTATTCAACTATTTTTCAAATAACAAGATTATTAATTTAAGGTATTAAGTACTGCAACGTCGTACTTCACTTTATTACGTAACTTTGAAGAAGACGAAGGATTGATAAATGATATTTAATTAACGACTTCCAACAATCTGTATCGAATTAATAAAACATCTTAATATTTATCATTATTTCAATAAGTTTTTCGTATTAATCTTTGATCATAGAATTACTTACGTAAGATAGAACACATGATGATACTGATGATGATGATGACCGTCATTATTACAATTTACAATTTTGTCAGATACTTCAAATGGTTATCGTACACATATTCTCGATTTTATTTTCGATCGAAAATATTTTCATTTCAGTTCAAAAATATATACAAGCTCATTAAAGTACACTGATTATTTCACATTGATTTAGCACTCGGATCAAAATCGTTTCTATCATTCTTCGTCATTCTGATCAAAACCGTGACATTGTGATTACTTTTTTTTTTTTTTTAGATCAGATCAGAATTTTCTGCATATGACGCGAAACGCTTGATCGCACGATCACGACTCTCGAAAAGTGAACGATTGATCATAGAGTCCATGGCAAACGACGAGATAACAGTCTATCTCTATGCTTTCTAAATTGTCAGCCATCAGTATTTTTCGTATCAGAGAAAATTGGAGGATTTGGCAAAGGAAAGGAAAGAAGAAAAAGGAAAGAAAGACAAAAAAAAAAAAAAAAGAGAAAGAAATAGAAAAAAAAGAAAAAAATAAGAGAAAAAGAAAAAAAGAGTCCAAAGTTCGAAAAACGTTCGATGTCTTCGATCATTATGAATTCAAAAAAGATGAATATTATATGGGATCAGTCGTACGATAGTTGTTCGTATGAAAAGCCTATGTTATTAGAATGACAGGTTGACAGGTATCATTGGATCTTGACGAAAGTTGACAACAGATCAAAGACAAGTCCAACTAGGTGAGCTGTTATTACGATAATCGCTTGTCACGAATCAACGTCAAAAGTTTTCTCTATCGTTTCGTATTCGGAGATAGATAAGTCGTAACTGACTTGAATTGAATCAAATCGAATCAATTTGTATCACAATGCTAAATCACAAGAGAAAAGATATTTCGATAATCTTAACTACTTTTTTCATGAAATTTACTGGCTTTTGGTTAGCCGTCAATCCGAAGGAACAATTTCGACGACGTATAGCTTTTTATTATAACGTCGGTGCCGTATCATTCGCCGTTTACGTCGAGATAACTGATTTTATTTATTCCCGTAACAATTTCACCGTAAGTATAAATTATTTCTATCATCTTTAATATCCATTGTATATCGTCATCGATTCCATATTAATATTATTAATAAATTTTTCTTCTTTTTTTTTTTTTTTTTGTTTTAGGAAGCGATATATATATTGTGCAACACCATGACGCTCGTAATGGTTCTAACTAAAATGTTAATATTAACCTTACATCGTACGAAATTTATGTATCTGATAAAATACATGCAAGATCAATTTTGGAATTCTGTTTATCAGCACGACGAAAATATTATCGTAGAAACTTGTAGAAAGCAATGCACATATTTCGTTTGTTCATTTATTTTTTTTGCTTTGGGTACTGTTTTTGGTTACATGATAACACCGATCATTGGTAAGAGATAATATAATAAAAAAAAATTATTTCGAAGGAGATGATTAATTAATTTTAATAGTTTTTAAGAAAACATTGGTAAAAATGAAACCGACAGGATATTACCATTTACAATGTGGATTGATTTTCCTTTTTCAACGTCGCCATATTTCGAGATAATGTTCGTAATACAGGTATTTAATTAATCATAAGATATTCAATTATAACCATTATAATATAGTTTAATATTATTTTAGAAATTTTTTTTCTCTTTGTCTTGCATTATATTCTAGATTTTATCACTTTATGGGGTTGGCATTTGTTATTTTTGTTTCGATTGTTTATTATGCATCATGAACATACATACGGCAGGACAGTTTCGTATTTTGCAATATCGTCTTATTAAAATTTATCAAGAAAACGATAACCGTAATTATAATCATATTAATCATTTACAAGATGTTTACAATAGATTTAAGGGACTTGTGATACAGCATCAAATGCTCATCAAATATTCCAAGGATTTAAATCACGTGTTTACTTTTATTACGCTCGGCCAGGTATTAATATTCAGTATATTGATATGCCTAGTGGGCTATGAAATATTTATAGTGAGTAAAAGTATTTATTTAAATATCAAATGTTATCGTTAAAATTATTATATCTTTTTTTTCAATACATCAAAATATCTTTGCCAATAAGTTTTTATATTAAAAAAAAAAAAAAAATAATTTTTATAAATTATTAAAGGCAGAGGCAGCTCCTATCCGACGTGCCGTTTTTATATTTTATATAATAGGTACAATGACCCAACTAATGATGTTTACATACAGCTGTAATATATTAACAGAAGAGAGCATGAATATAGCTGTGGCAGCATACTCGTCATCATGGACATCTATGCCTATAAATAAAATTGGTAAATTGTTAAGGAAAGGTTTATTCATTATTATTATAAGAGCTCAAAAACCTTGCGTCCTATCAGCCGGTGGATTTTTCTCCGTATCTTTGGAAACTTATACAGCAGTAAAATTTATTTTATCTTATGTTAAAAAATTAATTAGAATTATTTTTAAATTAAATATTATTACATTTACAGGTAATAAGTACCGCAATGTCCTATTTCACATTACTCAGACAACGGAGTTTGGAAGTAATTGGTGTCTAATTGATATATATATATATCCTCGTAAAGAATTAAACTTATAATAAATTATAATATTAATAAAATAGTATAGTATAATATAATAGTATAAAGTAATACAATTATATGATAAATTATTAATACATTTTTAATTTTTCTTATCATTGTATTAAAAATGAGAAATAAAATTTTATGTTATCTATCGAACTATTGAATTACCGATATGATAATATCAATGAACTGTATTATCGACAATTAGTATCTTTCTAGAGATTCTATTAATAGATAAGATAGAAATCATTTATATCATCATATAATACTTACTGATCATTCGAGATAAGTGATTTAATTTAAATAGTATGTATCCAATGTTTTGTAATTTATTTGTAAATAATTTTTTTTCTATATAATAACAAAGTATTGGAAGTAAAAAAAAAAAAAAAAATAGAAAAAAAAGAAAAAAAAAAAAGAAAACAAAAAAGAAACAATCACAAATTTTTAAAAAATTTCATTAATAATAAATAATATGTATATTTGTTTACTTTTTCTTTTTTTTTTTTTTTTTTTCATACGATGAAAAATTTACTTCTTCTTCTTGAGAGTATCCATTAAATTTTTAAAAGCTTTTAGACTCTCAGTACGAATTTCATCGTATTTAACAATTTCAGCCTTCATACGCTTGTACCATTTAGTAATATGCGGAAATTTACTAAGATCGTAATCCATTAACTGCAAAAAAAAAGAAAAGACAAAAAATGATAACGAGATAACAAAGAACGTCAACAAAGTTATATAATAAATAAATTATGTTAGATGAAACGAATAGGAGCGCTTGTTTTTGTTTTTTTTCTTTTTTTTGTTTTGTGTTTTTTTTACTCCTCTTTTTACCTCAAAATTAGAAATGGTGACAGCAATAGAATGATCAGCTATCGTCATATTTTTACCAGCCACGTAGGTCTCATTTTCTAAAAATTTATCAAGGAATTCAAGAACCTTTTCCAATTTTTCATATTTGGTTTGATCCTTAGGTGCTCCAGCGAAGATCGTTGGATACTATTCAATCAAAGATATCATTTATAAATATGTCATATATATTATTATTACTATTATTTAATAATGTTATCATATTAATATTATATATATATATATATATATATATATATTATAGAAATAATAAATAATAAATAAAAAATAGAAAGAAAATAATTAATATATATATATATATTAATAATATATAATATATAATATATAATATATAATATATAATATATAATATATAAATAATATTAATATATATATATATATATGTTATAGAATAATTATTAACTTACATAATAATCAGCAAAAGCTTGATACAAATTGTTCGCATCGAAAAACAATCTTTGATTAACAATAGCACGTTTCTTTGGATCCTTTGGATACAATGAATCATTTTTACCATACTGATCAACTAAATATCCCATAATTGCACGACTGTGAGAAACGATTACTCATTAACATACGTAACAATTAACAATAGTAATAATGCAAGATAATAAAAATACCTTTCGGATAAGTGAAAACCATTGTCATCGATGGTAGGCACAGTATGTTGAGGATTTATCTAGGATATTTTGAAATTGCATTTGTTAAATGTTGAAACGATCAATTGACAGAAAGAAACAGAAAGAAAAAAAGAAAAGGAAAGAATATAGAAAAATATTTGAAAGTTTTAAGATATTTAATCGATATTTAATCGATATTTAATCGATATTTAATTGATATTTAAATAATTACCTTTAGAAATTCTGGTTTGAGTTGTTCACCATTCATTAAATTAATTTCTTTCAAATTCAAGGTAACACCGACAGACGCTGCTGTTAAACGAACCGCAGCGCATGGCGCACTTCCTAGTGCTTGATAAAGATCGATCGGCATATTTTTTTCTATAAATTTTAAAACAAACGTCAAATCATATCACTATTATCAGATATATATATATATATATTTTTTTTTACGAAATTATTACATCGCCATAATGATTTTATCTGCGGTCAAATATGTAATAAATAAAAATTTGCTTATCACGAACCGAGAAAAATTCTTATCTCGTTGATTATTTTAATCTTCTTTCGTACGCAAACTAAATATAATACTGTTGAAAGTGTCATAATATCGTTCCGTCCAAATGACATTTGTTCCATTGAAAATCGATTACGTAATATTGAAATAAAAATGAAAATGATATATTCGAACGTAGTAAAACGTGCCACGTAGTTTTTTTTTTTTCCTGTTATTGAAAAAAGCCCACGTATATCTAATAACATTCTCTTTAAAATTCATTATTAAAACACGTAGTTTTACTTTCGAAATATTAACTCATTAAGGATAGTTAACACTTCTACATATCATATAACGTAACATATGTATGTATCTGTTCAAGGACAAATAAGTGGAACATGTTCTCTCTCTCTCTCTCTCTCTCTCTCTCTCTCTCTCTCTCTCTCTCTCTCTCTCTACGTGTTTCTCTTAGTTTTATCTCACAATTATAAAACGGAAAACTTCGATTTAACGTTCACTGAATCACCAAGATCGAAATTGAAATAATTTCACTAAATTTCTCGATTGAAACATTATTGTTAAGAGTTATATATTTTTCATAATAATTTATTGAACCAACCTGTATCGTTGAGTTTCTCGTTGATACGTTGAATAGCAATAGTCTTTATGATCATACGTCGGTTCTCCAAACTCTCTATATAAATATGACCTGTTACTACAGTGCTGCCTCTCTGTTGTTAACAAGTATTGAGATAGTAGGGATGGAAGGGGGAAGGGATGGAGAGAAGAGAGAAGAGAGAAGAGAGAAGGAAAAGCAAAGAGCCAGAGATATATCGATCATGTTAGTTACTTTTCAAATCTGATGATTCACGATGATTCTCATGCGCGTTGCCATTTGTTCTTGTTCGATAAGAATCATTGCATATTCCTGTTTAGATTTTGTTGAGTCATTTATTTTTATCTTTTTTTTTTTTATATTCTATTTATTTATTTTTTTTTTTTTTTTTTTTTTTTTGATATTTTTTATCATCAGTCATGTAAAAATGTGTTCTTTCTTACTTGATATGATAATAGTACACGTTCAATTTTGTTGGTATTTTTTTTTTCTTTTCTTCTTCTTTTCGAAAAGAAAAAAGGAAAAGTCAAAAAAAAATCGAGGAACGTTCATCGATAGATTAATTAATCATTAGAATGAATAGATAAATATAATTTTTATCAAACAAGAATAATTATCGTACGTTGATTTGTTTATTTCCTTTTTTTTTTTTTTATTTTTCAATTTTAGTTAAACGTCTCTATCCTATTCCTTTTAATTTTCTTCCATTTTATTTTTGCGAATAATTTACCAATTAAATTATTCGATTAATTCTCATTGCTATGACTGACTCGATGAGTAATTTTTCTTTTCTGTCTCGTTTTTCTTTCACTTCTATTTAATAGTTTTTCATCAATCGTGACTCGTAAGAATTGCATATATTATTATTTTATAAATAGTTACAAGGCTATTTGATTGCATTTAAATGACACTGCGATATTTGTCTATTTAATCGAATACGTCTAAGTGATGTCTGATATTTAAACAATATTGTTATTACATTATTACAACAATATTTATTATTATTATTATTATTATTACAACAATATTATTATACATTATTAACTACGTTAAGAAAATGATTAATTTATTTATTTAAATTTACGAATTTTATTGAAGTATTTTAGTATTTCAACTGTACGCGCACGCGTTTTCGTGTGTGTCCGTGTCCGTGTGTGTGTGTGTGTGTTTGTACTTGCGTAAATTACAAAATACATAATTATCTTGAAAAGGATCGCTCCAATAGGAAACTATTAAGTTGTTCGAAAAGTTGAAGCATTCATTATTCAGCACTTTTGCGTTAGCCTTCGATAGAAACCTCAAGGATTTTAACTCGATTTAATATGTTTATTATAAATTGCGGCACAATATGCGTTATTATTTCGAAAAATAATAATTGACGATTTCTTTTTCACGAAAAATGTTCGTTATCGCGTGACATTTTCTTTATGTTCTATCTTTCTTTTTTTTTTTTTCTTTTTATTATCGAACCTGATATCATTCCTAATTTTCAGTTAAATTAATAAAATACTTTTTAATATTTATCGTTGGTGTACGATGAATAAGAATCCTCTGGAATGTTTAACAGGAAACAGGTTTTTCTCTACGGACAAAACCGGATCGTAGGAATGTATTTTTCTTGCTTTGGTAATCGTTCGGCTCTATGTGAAATTGACGGTTCTTATATAACTTAGTGTTAACTTGCGGAAACGAATTGCAGTGCGATTTGAAAGATCTTTATGAAACAATAATAAATTGTAAAAATAAATTCTTTCGAACTTAATGAAACGAATTATTTCAATTAATTCAGATAATATGTTGACAAAAAGTTTACAAGAATTATTAATTCGATGAGAATCTTTGAAAAATGTTAAACATTGGACGAGATAGGACGTTTAAAAATTTGAATAATTTATATTTATCTTATTGTTTATTAAATAAATGTCTTACTGTACCATCCGTCGATAATGTAGATCGCAATAAAATCCTCTTATCGATCGTTGATTCAACGTCGTAGGTAAGACAAATATTTTTTTCGTTACCTATAGATTTTCTTAAATTTATTTATTTATTTATTTATTTTTTTTTTTTCTTTTCGATAACTTCACTTATATTTTACAAATTTGTAAAAATAGTTCACTTTTTGTTTTTGTTCTTTTTTTTCTTTTTTCTATTTTAACAAATAAACGACACCAACAAGTTAATCCGAAAAATAATTTCTCGATCCTTTTCTCACGACAGTGCGATATAAAACTGTGCGAAAAATCAAATAGAACAAAATGAAGAAAAAGAAAGAAAAGAAAAAGGAAAAAGAGGGAACGATAATTGACGTTATTTGCGTAAGATGAATTTGCACGAAGTACGTAGAAATTACTTGATAGTTGAAAGTAATACCGATTGATCGTTGGAAAATCATACGTGATTATATGGTACCCTGGGGCATATTACTGGATAAGTGTCCATCAATCTCTTATAGAGCCTAGAAACAAGACTTAGGAGTTAGAATTGACTAGGAAACTCTCTCTAAGTCTTTGTCATAGATGATATTATCCCATGGATAGAACCATGATAAAGAAAGACAGGTATCTATCGGTTACGATAACGCGTATCTTTATGAAATTTATTGGCTTTTGGTACGTTGAAACTTGGCGGGAACAAATGTTCCTTCACTTAGCCCTTTGCTATGCTGTTCTAGCAATTTGCTTTGCAATTTGTGTAGAAGTCGTTGACCTCTATCATTGTATAGGTGACTTTTACGTAAGTGAAGGTACTTCTTCTATTTTTTTCCCTTTTTTCAATCATATTCAATACGATCGACATTATACAACCTTCGTTCGATAATGCGTCAAAGATTTCTTTTATCAAATTGAACATCTATATTATATCTTTAGGCATTAACTTATAATTTGTGTGCGACGATGCTTTTGATCATGATACTCGTGAAATTTGGCAATTTTATATATTATCGTAGTATCGTTTTAAAGCTGATACGTTACGCCGAGGATAATTTTTGGAAAATAGAATACGATAAGATCAGTGCAAAAATATTAGAGGAATATGACAAACGTGGTGTATTCATGACATATTCATTTACCTTGATCGTTCAATTGGCATCTTTTAATTACATCTTTGCACCTTTATTCGGTGAGTGATATCATGATTATTATTATGATTTATAATCTCTTATTGTGAATAGATTATAATAAAATGAAATAAAATTAATGTAAAATAAAATAATATAATATAACTTGTATTTATTTGTATCATTTTAATCGCTATTAAAAAATAATAGAAAATATTGGAAGAAACGAGACGGACCGTGTGTTGCCTTTTAAATTGTGGGTTAATTTACCAATTAAAATGACACCTTATTACGAGATAACATATACCATTCAGGTAAAATGATTTTTATTAAAACATTATAATAACAAATTATTTTCATATAACGTATTAATATTTCAGTCATTGTCGACATTTCATTCCGGAATTTGTACATTTTGTTTCGACAATTTCATTTGCACGTTCAACATACACGTAGCAGCACAGATGAAGATATTAGCACACAGATTGGAAATGATCTCTGAAAGGTATATCAACTCGATGACAAATGACACATCAATGTCCATAGAGGAGGCAGGTCAGCTCGCATTAATGGACTTACGAGATTGCGTATTGCAACATCGTGCATTAATTTCTTACGTTGATGAGATGGAACGTGTATTTACTGTTATATTGTTCGGTCAATTAATATTATCAAGTTTAATTATATGTTTCGGAGGCTTTCAATTTCTTGTAAGTTATAATTTCTTTAATGATGCATCATCAAAGAAATAATTATCCCAAGGGAATATTGTAACTTCTAGGCTGCTGAAGTGTTAGTAAGAAAATGCATATTCGCCATTTACTTCACCGGAAGCCTTTCCCAGCTCCTTATATACACTTGGACGTGCAACGATATAATAGTGCAAAGTTCAGAACTCTCAGAAGCAGTGTATAACTCTCGTTGGTATCTTGTGCCAAACGAGGGAAAAGGGAAAGCGTTAAAATACGGTGTAAGCATGATCATGCTTAGGTCACGTCGGCCGTGTGTCTTGACGGCTGGTGGATTCGCAATAATGTCCTTGGAAACCTTTACTGGGGTAAGTGCAAAGCAACATATATATATATATATATATATATATATATATATATATATATATATGTATATGTATATATAAAGAGAGAGGTTGAGAATCGAGAGAAAATTATGTCACTTGAGAATTCGTCCAAAAGGGTATTACAAATTTATATTTATATACTACAGATACTGAGCACGTCGATGTCATATTTCACTTTATTAAGACAAATGAGCGAAGAGAAATAATAATCTTAAGGTATAATGTAAATTTATAAGATTGATGATTGAAATATCTGTGACGAAAAGGAAATAAACAGGGAAAGGAATAATACTAATTATAATAATGATAATAATAATAATAATAATAATAATAATAATGACAACATTAATAATAACAATAATAATAATAATATAGTTGTAGATCTTTGCAAATGATAAATAAAATATCCCAATAAATATATTAATCAATATTGAATTGTAATCAATAACAATACTAGATTTTATTTGGAGAATCAGGAACAATCAAGATATATTTACTCCTGTTTAATACATAATGTCTCTATGTTAGATTGATAGTAAGCATGTAGTAAGCACAAGTCAAAGGGTGATGATTGATCAAAGGGTTGTCACACGGTGTCACGATATCGCATAGAATCTTGCATTATTACGATAATCGCTCTCAAGCGATTCCCATCGAAACTCGGTTATTGCCGCTATCGATGATATCCTCCTATCGAATAATATCATAGTCAATCTCACGGGGTGGGGTCGGGGCGATAAAATACGCTTCGATAATCTTGATTATCTTTTCCCTGATATTCGTCAGCTTTTATCCCCGACAATCAATATATATATATATATATATATATATATATATGTATGTATATAATGGATGAACTATGTATTAGTATCTTGTCATTATCTATATATATACGACACTAAACTTTTATTAACTATACACCATTTTACAATTGCTTGATATTTAATGAAGATATATGTATATATATACTACTACTACTACTACTACTACTACTACTACTACTATTACTATTACTACTACTACTACTACTACTATTACTATTACTACTACTACTACTACTACTACTAATTGAAATTATTATTGACAAGTTCGAAAAGTTTTCTTTTTTTTTTTCATCTTCTTTCTTACTTTTCTTTTTTCTTTTCATTCGACAAAGTAGTTAATCTTTGCGTGCTAATAAATAGAATGAACAAAAGTTAGATGAAAGGTAACAATGATAAAGCAAAATATATCCCCTTGTAGACGCCAAACAATAATGGGATTAAAATTTACTGAGACATCCTATCAGCGGCCAACTTTTTTAATATTTCAAGACCTTCCACGTTCGCCTTTCGATATCCAGGAGCTGAGCTTTTAATTCTGTCCATCCACTTGGAGACGTATTTATATCTAAAGACATCGAATCCGAACGCCTGCAAAATATATGAAAATAATAAGAGATATTACGTCGTAATTGATAAAATAATTTTCAATTGTTCTTTTTTCTTTATCTAATTTTTTTTTTTTTTTAATCTTATTATCGCAATAATTATTTCCAATTTAAACCTCTCCAGTGGATACGCTCGATGCCAATGCCAAATCGGCGATCGTTAAACTACGACCAGCTACGTAATCCTGATCCTCGAGAAATTTGTCCAATAGATCGAAAGCATTTTTTAGCTTTTCGTATTGTTCCTCGTCGTAACTCTTCGCGCCGTGGAACACCACAGGATACTAAAAATCAAAAGTTCCTTTTAACTTAGTCCCATCGAACGATCCATTTTATTACGATCTTCTTCCCCAATCCTCGTCTACCTTTCAATGTGAAGGAAAGAAAAAAAAATTGGAAGAGTCGAATATTCGAACCGAGTTATTCATGATTTATTAGAAACGATCTAGAAAATGTTTCTTTTTCTTTCTTTCTTTCTTTCTTTCTTTCTTTTTTTTTTTCTTTTTTTTTTTACGAAGTCAGCCTTATTATCCCCATTATCACGAATATGGCTACCAATGTGAAACTTAATTACGTTCCATTTTTAATTTCTCCTTTTTTCTACCGACGTTTAGCCACCCTACTTCGATCGGTATTGGGAAGAGAAGGAGGAGGGCGGGAAGCGGGGAGGAGGTGGAAAGGGTGTTGGGGGATAAAAGGAAGGAAGGAAAAAAAAAGAAAAGAAGAAAAAAACAAAAAAAGAAGTCGATAATGGAATTTCAAATATTTTCAAATATTCGTAGGTATTCATTTATTATCTCTACGTACGTAGTAAGAACTGAGATTTTTGTAAAGCTTCCCAATGTCGAAGTATAATCTTTGATTGACCAATGCACGTGATACTGGATTTTGCGGATATAATCTTTCATTTTTTCCATATTGATCTACCAAATAACACATGATCGCTCGACTGAAATTAATTATTAATTAATTTGATATTCCAATGATATAGCGTTTGAATTAATATTAATAGATAATATTAACCTTTCCGAGAGTTTGTAATCACCGTCAACGAGAAAAGGTATAGTCCTTTGAGGATTCAACTAAAAAGGCAATAAAAATTTTAATGGACGAAGCTAATAATAATAATAACAATAATAATAATAACAATAATAATAATAATAATAATAATAATAATAATAACAATAATAATAATAATAATAATAATAGTAGTATCAAATGAATCCCGATACAAATTAATTAGATGGATTTTTTTGGACATCACTACTTTGAAAAAGAATTCCTATAAATTTCAATATGTATATTGAAAGATAAAATTGATGAATTCAATTTTATCACGAGGTATATTCATTTCTCTTAAATAATTCGACTGCAAATTAGACCATAAATATTCTAATAAATGCGATTTAATTATTCTCACCTGTTCGTATTCCGATTTGAGGTGTTCGCCAGTGAACAAATCGATTTCCTTTAAATTCACTGACAAACCGAGTGCTTCAATGGTTAATAAAACAGCACGACAGGGAGAGCTCATTGGTAAATAATATAAATCCAAAGACATACTTTATTTGATCTGTGTATAAAATTAGCCTCCAATTTTTCGTCCTAGTTAAATAGAAAATATCAAATAAATAATACGATAAAGAAGACGGACGGACGGATAAATAAAGAACGACCTTAATTAGTCTGCATAAATTAACACGTTATATAATTGACTAAATCTTTTTTTTTCTTTTTTTTTTTTTTTTTTATACTAGACGATAAAAAAAGACTATCGTTCTTTTTATATTAATAGAAATATAACGATACGAATAAATATTATTACATTATTTATGAATATAAATTCATTTTAAATTGTAATTAACGAATACCAATTACTATATATATACATATATATATATATATATATATATATATATATCACAAGAATATTCTTTTGGAATTAGTGGCTAATAAATTAATATACGATTAAGCGAAACAACGGGATGAATATTATTTAAATTTATATTTCGAATACCGATTAATCACAGTCAAAAATATATATATATATATATATATATATATATATATATATATCGTAAAATATCGGCACGTGTCTTCTGCAAAATTGAATAAATGGAGACACACGTTTGTACATATACATATACATCTACATATACAAATACATACATACGTATACATACATGTACATACATATATATATATATATATATGTACACTAATACATATAGAGACTATAGTCGGTATTAACGACGGATCGATGCCTCCTGATAAACTATTCAGACTCGTATTAGCATGAAACCAAGCTGGATGGATCGATGCTCCTGCGTTTATGTGGCTTCGTGCTAACCAAACGTTCGAGTATAAAATGTCAAAATTGTAAATGATTTATCGAATTCAATCTCCCCCATCTCTCCCATAATTATCCTCTTATTATTACAAACAAGAAAAGAAATATATACATAATAATCTTTATTTCTATATTCCCTTTTTTTACGTACATACATTTACATATATCACGATTTTAATAAATCAGGGACAATTTAAAACGCGAAAAGTTTTTTTCTAATATTGATAATCACGTTAATTACATTTCTAACGTTATCGACAACAATTTAACGATCTCAATTAAATTCACGAAATTCTATCGTTGTTATTCGTTGCAAAGACAATACAAAAAAGAAAAAAAAAAGAAAAAGAAAAAAAAAACACTACGGCCAAAGAGTCGTAATTCCTCCCATTAATTACACCGACAAATTTTCTTTTTTACAAAGAAATAATATATTTTGCAATAGACGCAGGCAATGCAACGATAACATTATTTTCAATGTAAATAATATATAATAATATTCATTATAAAGAATGAAAATATAATTTTTAATCTTACGATGATAAATAATGTTTGAAATAAATTATAAAAATGTATTTACTTAACTTAAAACTCCGTCTGTACTAGATGAAAAATCGTACACATCCGTCGAGCACTTTTGAGTTCTTCATTTTTTTCTTTCGTAAGAGAGAGAGAGAGAGAGAGAGAGAATAAAGATAGAAAATAAAGAAATGAAAAGAAAAATAACAATTTTCAGCTAGAAGACGAAATTATGGTAAGCGCTTGTATCTTGCTGTTCAGTTAGGATATTACTAGACGGACTAAAGGCAGTCACTATCTGAAAGTCAATATACGAAGATACATAACATAACTACTACAATGTCAGAGTATATTGACTTAGAGGCAGTTATATCTAAGGTTCTTATTATAACTATGCGTGTGGTGGTAATTTCAGTCCTTTCTATAATATTAAACCTTAAAGATGAAAATTTTCAAATAAATGAATGAAATGGCCTTTATCTCGTATTTGATATAAACTTTGACAAAAATTTTATTTCGTTAATTATCCGATCGATTTCTCTTTGAAATTACTCCAACAGTTAAATTAATTGAAATTTTCGTTATTCCATAAAGAGGGAGAAATTCAAATGTAAGCGAACGAAACGATATTTATTATTTATCGTTTAAAGGGAACGTGATGAAACGGGTGGAGGAGGAGGAGGAGGAGGAGGAGGAGGAGGAGGGTTTGGGAATTGAGGGTTACCTGTCAAGGAGGAGGGAGAGGGAAAAGATTGAAAATGTTTTCTTTTTTCTTTTATTTTTATTTTTTCTTTTATTTTTTATAAAATTATAATAATTGATTAACTTCGAACGGATTAGAAATATAAAATAAACGCGTTCGTAATATTAATGAGTCTCGATATTGATCAAATATTAATCTTTTTAAATCGTAAACGAGCAAATAAATAATGTAATAGAATTCTGATAAATGTGAGTGATCGTAATAAACGTTGTCTAATTAGTCGTAATAAACATACTGCTTGGTTTTACCCCTTTTCACAAATAAAAGCCATTGTCATCTAGAATGGGATGTTGTGCACTGTGGATTCATTCGAAGATCAAAAGATACGTTTGTTTAATTAAGCTAATGGAACACCTTGTTTCACCATAATTTATATTACACGGGGAATCTTTACGTTTTTTCTCCATACTTAATAACACATATATATATATATATATATATATATATATATATATATATATATTTATACAACTCCTTAACTTTCTCAGAGATAGTATAACGTTTGTATTAGTAAAAGCTTTTTTCCAAATGAAATAATTTCGAGCTAACCTAAGATATATACACGCATACACACAAGCACGCACGCGCGCGCGAAAGCGCAATTTCTTTATAAACTTTTCTCCTTCTCTCGTATATTTGCATAAGGCGAATAATCAACGGCAGAGTTTAATTAAATGTCAAAAGATATATATATATATATATATATATATATATATATATATATAACATATGCGTTAAAGTTATACGATAGTAATTATTGCACAAGATTACTTAAAAGAAACTTGAATGGTTCTTAAGTAATAAAATTATTAACAAAAAAAAAGTACAAGTCGAATTATAATTGCAATCATACGAATAGGAATACAATAGAATTAATAATCGATCTAATTATTCGAAGTTAATGCAAGAAAAAAAAGAAGAAGAAGAAGAAGAAGAAGGAGACTTTTCTTGATTTATTTTTAAGAATAATAAGTTAATGTCGATCATTCAATTTCTCAAGAAAAAAGAAAAGAAATGAAAAGAAAAGAAAAGAAAAGAAAAAAAATTTAACATCCTTCGACAATCCTTATATCGAATTTTTCTTTATTAATTGACTTCAATATCCATTGGTTTTCATGATATATACATATATCTTCTCTCACTCTCTCTCTCTCTCTCTCTCTTTCTCTTTCTCTCTCTCTCTTTCTTCCCTATAAGCGAAAAATCTCGTGCTGAGTCATTCGATGCATTGGCAGGTGTTAAGAAAAAATATCGCGTGTCATTTCTCTCGTATATAGGATGACACAATACTCGGTCTGACTTTATTTTTCCATCTTATATATATATATGTATATATATATATATATATATATATATATATATATATATATATAAAATATAGCAAATGCTTGGGATGACTTCGCAGGATCGCCGCAAGCGAGCGTAGAAATAAAAAATGGCGTTTCAAATTTCCTCCACGTTCGTTTCACGTGGAAACGAAATATACGAAGTAAGCATATATCTTTCATATATTACTATTATTTTTTTTTTAATATACACACATACACACATACACAAACATACACACACACATATATATATATATACGTACATTTAAATGAATACAATAGATAGATAGATAGATATATTGATAGATAGAAAATGTCGTAGTTAATTGTGAATCGAAATTGTACAATAGATTTTCAATGTGCGGAATGAACGTGCAAAACAGGTGCAAAACAGGTGCAAAACGACATGTAAATTGCGCATGTGTAGTAAATAGTTTATCGATTGACACGCTCCTCGGTTCTTTTTTTTTTTTTTTTTTCATTTTACGAACCCCCGATCCCCCTTACCCAGCCCCCATAGAAAAATAACTGAAAGAAAGGTGGCGAGGAATCACTTTGCATAGACACGACGATCGATAACGAGTTTAAAAACTGGTATGACCCACTTTTCTTCCTTTGGTTCTTGCAAATGATCCCTTCGAGTTCGAATACGCCCACGGGACAACGACGTTGTCTGTGAATCGAGAAGAAGTTTTCTAAAGGCACGAAGGAGAGTCCTTTGGATAGCGAACCATTTTATACGCTCGACTTACTTGACCGCGCGTGTTTCTAACGACTGCATGCGTGTATGTGTATATATGTGCGTGTGTGTGTGTGTGTGGATGCGAGAGGCAAAGAGAGACAAAGAGAGAGAGAGAGAGAGAGAGAGAGAAAGAGATACAAATAGACAGAGAGAGAAAGAGAGAGAAAGAGAGAGAACGAAAGCAAAGATAGTAGTACTCTGCTTGTAAAAACGTTAGGTGAGTGCAAGAAAAGAAAGAAAGAAAAAGGAAAAAGAAAAAAAAAAGGAAAAAAAAAACGGAAAAAGAAAAAGACAAAAGAAAACTCGAGTTTAAGTGCAGCAAATTCGTGCTCTAGCGTTAATTATCTAGCAGTTGAATCCTTTTCGATTACCTTCGGTATTTAACCTTTTAGAACGGTAAATTGATTTCGTTTCTTATTATTTTCAAGAGTTTAAACCTCTAAAGTACACTTTCTCTTTCTCTCTCTCTCTCTCTCTCTCTCTCTCTCTCTCTCTCTCTCTCTCTCTCTTCTCCCTCCACTGTACCATCGGTGTATTTAACGATAGACAAATCTCGGATTTTTAATTAAAAACTCGAATACAGATGATCTTATGAGAAAAAGAAAAAACAAAACAAAAAAAAACAAGCAAAAAAAAAGCAAAAGAAAAAAAAAAGAAAAAAGAAAAAAGGAGAGGAGTAATTGACTTCGGCCCTAAAAAAGAAGAAGAAGAAGAAGAAGAAGAGGAAGAAGAAGAAGAGGAAGAAGAAAAAACGAAAAAGAAACGAAGATTTTTGCAAGGCTCGTTATTAAAGAAGATTTCTTCCTACCTTTATCCCCGTGGAAAATCGTAAGCTGATCCAAACGAGAAAAAGATTACAATTAGATCTTTCTTTCTTTCTTTCTTTCTTTCTTCCTTCCTTCCTTCCTTTTTTTCTTTCTTTTCTTTTTCCTTCTTCTTTTTTTTTTTTTTTTTTTTTTTTTTTTTTTTCAAGCGTTTTCATGCTCGTCACAAGTTTTACGTCCGGTGAAACGCGCAAGTTGTACGATCTTATTACTTCTGAAGGATGAACAGGAGATCTCGTAGAAAAGGAAGGAAGGAAGGAAGGAAGAAAGGAAGGATGGAAGGATGGAAGGAAGGAAGGAAGGAAGGAAGGAAGGAAGGAAGGAAGGGAAAGTAGAGGAATGGAATGGAATGGAATGGAATGGAATGGAATGGAATGGAATGGTTGGTTCCTCCTTGCCCGAAGTAGAAACGGGGATTTTCGAGCGGTTGGAAACGAATTTCTGCTTCGTCATCCAGCAAGAAGAAGACCAGCGGCAGCAGTTCGAGTGTTGCCGACTGTTGTTACGCAATTGCTATTCTCGTGTCTATGTCTGAACGAACGATAATTATATTTCTTCGAGTGCGACACAAGCAAAAGAAAAGGAAAGAAAAGAAAAAAAAAAAAACAAATCAAGAAAGAAAGAAAGAAGGAAGAAAAAACAAGAGATAAATAGTTTAAGGAGATTATATCCAACGATCCGTGCTATTGGACACGGAATAAAATTATAACGTGTAATCATTTCCCTCCCCTATCTAACCCCAATCCATCAATCCTTTGTGATTATGATAATCAACAATGATCACGATGATTTCTCGTCTCTTCTTTCTTTCTTTTTTTTTTCTTTTTTTTTTTTTGAAATATCCTACGCATCCCTTTTTCCCTTTTTCATCCTGTTTTATCCCTGTAACTCTCCCTGCCCAACTCTCCCCCCCTCCCCCCGTCATATCACTACTTCCCTCCCTCCTATACCACGCCCCACCTCCTCCTCCTCCTACTGCAACCCTCATTGCACGGATAGATCAAGTTGATCTCGTCCTCTGTAATTGGCATAGCAATCAAAAATAATTGAACTTTCAGAATCGTTTTGAACGAAAATTGAGAATCGAATGAGATAAATGAAAGAGAAAATAGAATGGATCATATAGCGGCAAGTATTTGTTGGACCCTCGGTCATTTGTTACCGAACGCGTGTAATCAAAAAAAAAAAGAAAAAGATAAATAAAGAAAGAAAAACAAAAAAGGAAGGAAGAAAGGAAAGAAGGAAAGAAAGAAAGAAAGAAAGAAAGAAAGAAAAATGATGACTGCCAACGAAACAATTCGATTCCCATAACGTTATATTCCTTTTAACGTTTGAAAATTATTACAGGCTGACACGATCGTGTAATGTAATCCACGTAAATTCCATTAAAAACTTTTCTCATGGTTTATAATCCATTAGTGTCATACGTTTTCTATTACGCACGGAATAATCTCCTAGCGTTACTTGTACGTTTCAACGCTGTCAAACGGAATCGTCCTATTTTTCTTCCTCGTCTTCTTCTTTTTCTTCTTTTTCATCTTTTATTCGAACTATCGACCAAAATCAGCACTAAAGCGACTTTCTCTCTTTTCTATTTTACGTTCATCCGTTTATACAGTAAATAAATTTCACGAAACACGAGGACAGTTTAAAGCATCTCATCGAATACATTTAATGTTCGCCGTAAGTTTTCCTGCCATTCCTTTTGAATATGGTGTACTCTCGCTTAGAACCCATCAATACAAACATCACGATATTCGCATATCAATCGCTACGACTACTTATGGTAGTATATATATATATATATATTATTTTATTTCTTTTTTTTTTCAAATATCATACGCATCGAACCTTTTACCTTTTTTCATCCTGTGTATATATATATATATATATATATATATATATATATGTATGTATGTATGTATAAATTATACTTTTGGAAATTAAAAAAATAAATAATTGCAAGCAAATTAAAAAATATCAAGTTTTTCATCGATTTTAAAATAATAGTTTTTCTAAGATATTTTTAATTTATTTAACTTCGCACATTTCTTCAATTTTAATTGGTAATTAAAAAAATAAAAAAATAAATAAATAAATAAAAAAAAAGAAAGAATTCAAAATCTATAACGACGAACAAAATTTATTTTGACAATTTTAACATTAGTTTTACGAAAGTTTCACGTATAAATTGATGGCTATCCATAGAAATATATATATAGAGATTTATAATTATGAAATTACAGATCTGAAAAGGAATTAGATTTGATTATATATTCCTCTCGTTAAATCGATAATAATTAACCAAAATTAGGAGAAAAAAATAATAGTAATGTTTTTTTTCTTTTTTTTTTTAATTTTACTCGTCGTAATCTGAAAACCATCAAAATTGACGTAATAAAGATAATATCAACGAACGAATATAATAAAAATTAAATAATATCTTTAAATAATAAAATAATATTATAATTATATATAATATTATAATAATAAAATAATAATTAAGAATAAATATCAACAATATAACAAATATAATAAAAATTAAAGAATTACTAATTAATAATTAATTTTTGTATGTGACATACATATTCTATATAAATCTAGATGAGCGTATATTTACGTCTATCGTATATATCGATAAACTTGTTAGGGCGTATATATGACGCTTTTCGTAGTCAAAGGGTTAATTCGTGAGACCGCGCACATACTACACTTTCACTTTGCCAAAGTTATTATCGTAGGAAAAAAAAAAAGAGAGACAATTAATGTAATTCGCATTTATATTATTATTATTAAAATTTAATTCCATATGATTTAGTATAAATATGAATTGTTAATGTAAAACCATCACGTTAGAGAATGCTTTAACACATACGAATGTATTTATAATTTTATCGATCCCGAGATATAATAATTATTATCTTAAAGAGACATTTTCCTAATTGCGATATTAATACAATCATAAAGATATTTAATTAACTTACGATTCAATCAATCTGAATATTTCCAATAACGAGATGGATCAACGATCCCGATGTTTTCTCTTGAACGTTGAAATGACGACTAACGCGAAAATGACCTTACACGATATTATCGAGAGTTCGTTTAAGTCGGTGATAATTTCGTGTTGTTTTGAAACAGAATAGTAGATAAACAATAGGATAACAACGTTATTATTCATAATCCAAAAAATTTTACGTTGTCGACGACGTAGTCCGATGATACTTGGCGAGTTTACGTTCTATTTATATCGTGTATTTACATTGTGTTTACGTTTTTATTTAACGCTCAAAACGTTTCGATAAAAAGATTTTGTGATCTTTGTTTTTAGATTAAAAAGGAAAAAAGAAAAAAGAAAAAAAAAAGAAAAAAAAAAAAAGAAAAGAAAAAATAACCAGCGCTCTCGGTCAAACGTTTAATTCCTTCAAAACTTTACTCGACGTGCAAAAAAAAAAAGAAAAAAAAAAAAGAAAAAAGAAAGAAAGAAAATATATGTCAGCTTGTATTTCTTCCTTATTTTCTCTTTCTTTCTTTTTTTTTTTATTTTTTATTTTTTTTATTTTTTATTTTTATCGCATCGTTGAAATACAATCGTGTATATGAAGAAACGATTAACATTAAAAATGAAATATATATATATATAATATATAGAATAAATTATTTTCTGAATGAAATCTCATAGAAATTTTCAACTTCCCTCCTCCCTTCTCTATCCCTATCTCCAAATAAAAATCAAATAATAATGATACATTAGAATTATCCTACGAGATATTGCAACTCTTTCGTCGAAATATTCCTCAGTCCATGGTACAACAATATAAAACTGGGAATGTTCAGTAACGGAATTTAGGGACCTTAAAACGTTCCGCACGCGGTCTCCGCGACGGGAAACGGCGCGCGTTTCAATGGCAAGGAGAAACGATGCGTGAAGTTTATACAAGCTCTGAGCTTTTATTAAAAAAGTTTGCTCTTTCGATAGTTCCCTTTTTCTGTCTATCTCTTTCTCTCTTCTTTCTCTCTTTCTCACTCTCTCTCACTCTCTCTCTCTCTCTCTCTCTCTCTCTTTCTCTCTTTCTCTAACTTTTTCTTTATGATACGCGACAACTAAATGAACGAGGACAAGGAATTGTGTTTAATTTTCAATTGGCAGATAAACGTGTATTACGACATTAGCTAAACTATATTTTACTTAATTAAACTACTTCGCCAAATTAGCACGATAACCTTCATTGAATGCTTTATTACCGGGTGCATGAATCTTCTCGAAACCAAATTTTTCCATTATGGTTTTGCATCGATCGTACCAAGCATCCACATTATCATAACGACCAATATCGAATTCAAAATTCTATGACAAACAATATTGATAAGATAAATGAGTAAAATTTCATTTCAGAGATTGTACGTGCTTGCGTGTATGTGCGTGCGTACGTGCGCGTGTGTGTATATATATATATATGTATGTCTGTATAAAAATAATCTATGATACGAAAACTCATCGACGATTGATAAAAAAATTATTAGAAAATGAAGAAAATTATATTAATTATAACAAACCTTTAATACAACGATACTCGTCGATATGCTAAAATCGGCGATGGTTAAATTTTCACCGGCAACGAAATCATTGGAATCTAAAAATGTATTCAATATCTCGCAAGATTTTTCCAAATTTCGAAGAATCTTCTCATCGATGGTATCCTTCATTCCCAAGAATATAGGAAACTAAAATGAAAGAATTTGATATAAATTGGATTATTCTAAAAACAAAATGAAAAAAAAAAAGAAAAAAACAAAAAAAAAACAAAAAGAAAAAATAAAGAAAATAGGGGGGAAAAGAAAACAAGAACATTGTAACAAAACTTACGTAACATTTGTCGATGTTCTCGTACAATGTGCCAATATCAAAATATAATCTTTGATCTACGATACCACGTTTTTTAGGATCCTTGGGATAAAGCGCATCGTCTTTGGCATATTTCTCAACGAGATATTGCATTATTACTCGACTAAAAAAAAAAAACAGAAACAAAAAAAAACAAGAAAAAAAAAAAAAAAAATAGAAGAAAAAAGTTTATCATATAATAAATACGTTGATTGATATTCCGAAGAATAATTTTTATTTTAAGAGATAAAACGCATACTTGCCTTTCCCATAAAACGACGCTATTGTCGTTTATAGTTGGTATAGTATGCTCTGGATTTATCTGAAAAGAATTTATTTCCAATGAATTTGAAGAGATTTATTTTTTCTTCTTTTTCGTTTCTTTTTTTCTTTTTTTTTTCTCCTTCATCTTTCTTTCCTTCTTTTGCAAAAAGAAAATAAAAGAGAAAATTTATTATCGTACGAGAATGGAACCTTTAAAAATTCTGCCTTCATTTGTTCACCCTTGAGTGGGTTGATCGATATCAAGTTGAAGTGCACACCTATCGCTTTGCCGAGCAATAAAATCATTCGGCAAGGTGGACTCAGTGGAAAGTAATAAAAATCAATCGGCATCTTGCCGTTTCACCAGAAAAGAGATCCTTTTCTTCTTCTTCTTCTTCTTCTTCTTCTTCCTTCTTTTTTGCTTTCTTTCTTTCTTTCTTTCTTTCTTTCTTTCTTTCTTTCTTCTTCGTTTCACGTTATTCTCGTCCTTTAACTTATACCGAAGCGTTTTTCACTTTTTCCTCCGATTGGCTACCGCGCAAGAGCAAACGAGATTTTTATACTTCAGGTGTTAACTTAAGACAAACTTTTGAATCTGAAAAGGGTAAGAAATGGAAACCGCATACGAATTCCTGTCGCGTTTGTACCTTGTGATCCGAGTTTCAACTGAACGAGTTGTCGAGCTCAAGAAGACAATAGTCGATGGAATTTTATACAGGCACAGCAGTGCTAGAAGACTTTCTCTCTTCTATCTCAGAATGAACTCTTCAAAAGGTACCTCTATTCTTTTTCAAAGATAAAAATCTATTCCTACCGATTTATTTCTATTTTCTTCACCTTATCCCTCCCCACCTATCAACTGAAAGAAAAGAAAAATAATTTAACTGATCAAAGGGGCCACAAGAAAAAAACAAAAAAAAGAAAGAAAAAAAAGAAAAACAGAAAAAGAAAAATATTATTATTTCAAACAATAAACAAAATTCATTGATTTGTTTATATTAATGAACTAATTGTGATCTTCTTCAATGATGATTGTCCATTGCTCGTACACACCTCTATCTTGATTTCCTCCTACTCGTGTTCCTAACTCGATTGATCGATGATCGTATATCACTGATACTCGAAATACGTGGATGCCTCTCCAATTAATCGATTTATTATCGACTCGAAGGGACGCGTCAAAGTATCATCGAGACCACCTAATACCCGAGGAGGTTTAGTTCAAGGGCGAGTGAGAGAGAGAGAGAGAGAGAAAGAGAGATAGATAGATAGATAGAGAGATAGAGAGAACACACGTACGACACGATGTACAGTGAACTAAGGAATGACCAAAAGTAATATGTCGCTTAGGTTTATAGAATACTTTCCTATAAGCGGGGTTACTATGACGATAATGGCAAACAACGAAACGAAGACCTTGATATTATTTCTTTTCTATCTTCGTCTTACTTATTCGATTATTATATATATATATATATATATATATATATATATATATATATAACTCTAAATATTTTCATTCACTCGTACCTTTTATTTTTTTTCTCCTTTTTTTTTTTCTTTTTAAATAAAATATATCCTCTCGTTCTTCTTCTACTTCTTTTTTTTTCCTTCTCTCTCTCTCTCTCTCTCTCTCTCTCTCTCTCTCTTTCTTTTTCTCTTCTTTTTTTTTTCTCTATCTTTCTTTAGTTATATCAAGCAAACAGCTGACCTTTCATACAGGATTTGCTTTACTCAAAGAAGAGGAGGAGAAGGAGGAGAAGGAGGATGAGGGGGAGGGTGGTGGTGGAGAGGAGGAGGTCACGTTATGCTAATGATCTAAAAATTACATTTTGACCGTGTTCAAAGTCTCCAACGTGGAGCTGATAGTACCTTCAAAGAAGAACTCGGTATATTTTTGTTATTTCGGAGAATATCGCATACATAATTTCGACGCAGCACTTTACGCGGTGGTAACGGCGAGACGCGCAAATTATTCAAATGGAAACCTTTTGCGGTAGTAGTCGAATGAAACGAAGACGTTAATTTCATGGGGCGTATTCGCACAATAATAAAGGCTCCGTCGAGGTACATTAATGTAACGGGAAATATAACCGAAGCCAACGATATTATTATTCTACTCGAATAACAATCGGTCAAAAAAATCGTATGAAAATTGTATAAGAAAAAAATAAAAGAGAGAGAAAAAAAAAAAAAGAAAGAAAGAAAGAAAGAAAGAAAGAAAAAGAAAAAAGAAAGAAAGAAAAAAGAAAAAAGATGGAAATATGGACGATGTAGGATGAAATACAAGAAAAAAAAAGAAGAAGGAGAAGAAAAAGGAAATGAAAGAAATATATATATATATATATATATATATATATATATATATATATAAAAGAAAAGTAAGCCAAGAATTTTCGAGACAACGCGAATAATAAACGCTCTTACAAAGGTGCTTTTAAAGAGTAGTCATATTCGAGTAGCTAGCTAGCTAGCTAGCTAGCTAGGATAGCTAGCTAGGGTAGCTAGTCTAGCTCGTTCACTTTTATTTGCAGCTTTCCATTTATCTCAATAAATTTCTTTCGTTATTGTCGCCACCTGGGAGACCTGGACGCGATCTCATTTCCAGCAACAATTATATGTGAATTATTACGGCAATATAATTGTGATTCACAGCGAAGCACGTCACGGCAGCCGCTTTAAAATGACCCGGGGCTAAGCGCACGAGAGACTAGGATCGTCGACGAAAAATTTTCATGAAGCCGTTTTAGCCGTTTCGAGTTCTTTTCTCTTTTTTTTTTTTTTTTTCTTTTTTTTATTATTATTATTATTATTATTTTTTTTTTTTTTTCCTGCGCCCTCCACTACCTCCTCACCTTCCTCGCCGCGTTCGACCCAGCGCTCTCAACCCCCACTCAATCCTCCCTTCCTTTTGTATTTTATTTCATTTTATTATATTTAATCGATGTTAAAAATGAAAATGTTATTATTACTGCGCGACTATAATACGAGTATCGCGAAGGAGTATTAAAATAGCTTTAAAATTGTACATTTTATCGGTCGACGTAATGATAATACATTATTTGCTAAATATCAAACGCGATTGCTGCGAGTCGCGCGGGGAATATTTTTGTTAACAGAAAGAAAGAAAGAAAGAAAAAAGAAAAAAAAAAAAAAAAACAAAGGAAAGAAAAAAAAAAAAAAAACAAAAAAGAGAGAAAAGTTAAAGAGTAAAAGGAAAAAGAAAAAAAGGGACGAGAAAATGAAGAAAAAGAAATGTTGCCCTAACGAAGAACCACTTTGAAAAATTAGCCTGTACCGGAAAAAAAAAAAGAAAAAAAAAGAAAACGTATGATCGAGTTTAATTCGATTATTTAGCAAATGCACGCCTGGGATTCCACGAACGAGAGCTTCAACTCGAAAAGTTTTAAACTAAGCGGCTAATAGCGGTCGTTTATCAACCGACGTTAATTGGAATGCACCGTTAAGCGAGCATGACGGTTGTCTGTCCCTGGTGTGCAAACGCTTTTCGTCGCGAACAGCGCCACAAAGCGAGAAAACGCGATTTGCATTCTCGCGATCGAGATCAAGGGTAGCAAGAAACCGAGGATAACTCTTTCTCATCCGTCGTGAACATAAATCTAACGAAGAAAAGTAAGAGAAACACAGTTCGATACTTTTTCTTCGACAAAGAAATTCTATCATTTTTCTTTATTTTACTTGTTCTTCTAGTTTCTTTTTCTATCCCTATCCCTTTTTTTTTTCTTTTTTTTTTCTTTTTTAATCTTTTTACTTTTTTTTTTCCTTCGCTTTTTTTCTTCTTTCTTTTTTTTTTCTTTTTTTTTTTTTTTTGTTTGAATCTCCAACCACCCAACCACCCAACCACCCAATCACCCATCCACACACCCCCTCCCCCATCCTGGAACGTTACTTCACGTCGGCAATTCAGATCTCGACAGAATTCCGACGGTGATTTATGTCTTCGAGATCACGATGGGATCTTTCACGTGAAACGTATAAAACGGGGAGGACGAAGAAATTACGATTGAAAATTTATAACTCAAACGCGTATAGATCCTCGTGAAGCGAAGAAAGGAAAATAAAAGAGATGAGATGAGAAGAGAAGAGAAGAGAAGAGAAGAAATGGGAAGGGATGAGACGAGAGAAGAATAAAAAGGGAGAATGGGAGGGAGGAAAAGAGAAATAGGAAAAATAGGAAAAATAAAGAGAAATAGAAAATATCAATGTTTCTTTACCAACGATGGATAAAACAGAACGACGACATTGGTTGGTCATCGATCGGTGTCAGGTGCTTCCCTTTCGTTTGGGAAAATATCGTAGCAAGCGCCGGGCGTGTCTCCCTAGTACGACACTATCGATTAGTCCAACCGGATCCAGTAGGATGGAAACTGAAAGAGACGAACGGTTCTTTTGAAATCGTCAAATAAATCACATTAACGTTGTTTCGCGGAAAAGAATCGACCTATCGGATAAGCGTAACTTTAAAAGAAAGATGGTTTATATAGTTCGTTGAAATTTTCAATCGAACATTCGTAACTGAGGAAATATAATAAACCACCCCCTCTCCCATCCCCAATCCCAATTGAAATTGTACATTTCATCGTCATATGATATACATTGAATCAAGATGAATACGTTTGTTGAACCGACATCTAATTCTTTGTCACGTTCAATCAATCGATTAAGTTCATTGACTGATAAAATCTTTAGTTATAATAATTATTGATCGGCATTGATCTATCGATCGGTCGAAGATTCTAAATTATTTCAAACGAATAGTTCAATCATTACTATACCGTATATCGATGTTCGATACTATATGCGTTTATAAAATATCTATGTATGTGTCTATGTAACAAAGCTATAAATATATATTTCCCGATTTCCGCGATTTCATTGACACGAACAAGTCATTCGTGTGTTATGATCGGCCACTGTGGATTTGCGAAGTTGTATTTCGTTTTTCTCTTTCTTTTTTTTGTTTTTTTTTTTCTTTTTTTCTTTTTTAATGCAGTAACAACGAAGAGAAGAAAATAATGACACACATACACACACACACACACACACACACACACGAAAAAAGAAATAAAAGAGGGGGGAAAGAAAGGGTGTATAGAAAAAAAAATAAAGCCAGCTTCGAATCTAAATTTGCTATGTATTATTAGTAAATTAAATTTAATTTTGAAACAACGCTATCCGCATAAGAAATCGATATATATATATATATATATATATATATATATATATATATATATATATATATGGTAGGTGCACAAATGTTTCTCGATATGCGAGTTCATTCGCGCATGCTGTGTGCTCAAAATCTCTTCCGTATTCAAGCTTACCCAGAAATTCGTATTCCATGC